GGCTAGTAACCTAAATCCCACCATGACAATAATCATATATTTATATCAAGCATAAACTCTTAACAGTAGATTAAACAATGGAAGGCAACTAACAGACATCATCCATCTTGTCTATCATCCTCTTACAGCGCTGACAGCATAGAACAGTGGAAAATGAAAATAAAACATGTATTTATGCAGGTTTATAAATTATTACACTTTAATGAATTGGGTTTACATGTAAAAAGTCACTCTAAGGAGAATACATTTCTTGTTTCTACACTTCTTGTTTCTACATAAACAATAAATGTTGAGATTATTACTCCATTACAACAAATATTGTCCTTTGAATTGTGGCAAACAGTCTAAGCTGCATAAACAGGCCACACCGACCCACTGTGAAGACTCAGATTTCAACACAGGTTTAAAATGATGCTATATCTTGACAAACTGATTACACAAAATAAGTTTTGAGATGTACTTTCTCACTTAAAAACATCTTAAGATCTATTTTGTCACAGACTAAAGGTATAGAAAAAACATTTGTACACTCATCTTCACCAGTTACTGTGGCTGCTGCGGGAACAAAAAACTGCAGCTGCACACCACCCATCTCTCAACAAGCCCAGAAAGGACTAGGTCTGTAAAGTAAATTTACTCTGGTAAATGTGTATGGTAAATGGTATGGGGAAGCGAGCAAGACGCTTAAACCAAGACTGCTCTCCAGATTCCGTACAATGGTAAGCCACTGCTCCCCAAGAGGATGGGTTAAATGCAGGCAGTTAATTTCGTTGTTCTGTACTTGTGACAGTGTAATGACTATAAAAGCTGAAGAAACAAAAAAATGCTACTCAGATACTGAAAAGCCCCATGCTTTGCAAAAGGCACCCCATGTTTCAGTGGCAATGGAAATTGGGCTAATGGGTCACAAAAGAGTCACTAGAGTATCCAGCTTGTTGACTATGCCAGCAAGCATAGCACTTGTTAGCATAAACAGACAAAATAGCATGAAAGTAGCAAATCCGCTAAATACATCAAGGAGGAGGAGAGGACTGTGATCAGGTGGGCTCACTCAGGCTAGCAGGGAAGTGCAGACAGCAGAGTTGGGGCAAACTAAAACTGTCATGTCGCACCACAGGTCTGTACAACAAAGGAGTATTTTAGATTTTTATTATTTCCAGATAATAAAAACATGAATGCATACTGATGATAAAATAAACAAAAATAATTGCAACAAAATGTAAAGTTAAATCAGAAAGGTCCTTTTCCATAGCAAATAATAATAATATTTTTAAAATAAAAATTGGCAGACCTGTCCAACAAGTTATAAATTAATGCAAAGACAAGTTACTGTTGGTATAATTTTATATCCTTTAATAATCAGTTTAGTTAAAAAGAAGACCAGCAACTATTCATTTGCATCCTTTACATCTCTACAATATGTTCATGTCACCAGAGTCAAGCTGAAATATCTTTAATGTTATAATGAATTTAAGAGATTTCCTAAACCAAGGATAGAAAAAAGCATAGATGAGTGGGTTTATACATGAGTTGAAATAAAATAACCAGATCCCAAATTTTAAAGTAAACTCACTGTTTCCCATTTCCTGTCCTGCAAAAGACGGATAGAAATAAGGACAGAAGGTGAATATAAACACAACTATAACAACACCTAAAGCTTTAGCTGCTTTTCTCTCAGACTTTTTAGCAGTTATGCAAACTGAATCTTTTATAGCAGCTGATGTAGCTGCAATATGAGACCTCATGGCCCGAGCCTGAGACAAAGCAACCATAAAAACTCTCATGTACAGAACGATGATTACAGAAATAGGAGCAATAAATGTCAATATAACATCAAAAGTTCCCTTTAAAAGATCAATTAAAAGCACACATTCCCCATAACAGGAGTTATATCTGTCTGGATCATTTAAATGGTTACTCAGTAACACACCGTTGTAAAACACAGAGCACCCCCAACACAGACAAATACAGATTTGAACTCTTTTCTGAGTCACTTTTGTATGGTAACACAAAGGATCACAGATTGCTATATATCGGTCAACTGATATGAGCACCATAGTTCCTACTGAGGCAGATGTAAGAATATAAGAGGTGTAGTTAAAAGTTGCACATATTATGCTTCCCAAAACCCAGCAGCCTCCAGTTAGCAAGATTCGAATGGGCATCAGCAGCAGTCCAATAAGTAGGTCTGAGACAGCCAGAGAGAGGAGGAACATGTTGGTGGTGGTGTGGAGCTGCCTAGAGAAGAAGAAAAACAACACAGAGCATAAGAATAAATAAACTCATCCTGAGAAGTTGAAAATAATAGTCAAAATCTAGGTAAAATTGTATATGTGAGACACTATACATAACAACTGTTTTCACAAAATAATGAGGAATTATTTTGGCGAAATCTAATCAAATGAAAATTTATTTAATCAGATGGATTAAATAAATCTTTTATGCGCTAGAAAGTGAAAATAGGTCAAAAGATCCTATCTACATAACATTCCTAATGTGCAAACTGTTGAAATGCTACATGCAAGAAACAATATATAGAATAACACATTTCTGTTCACAGTAATGCCTGAAGTGTGAGATGGAAATGATGACCAGCAGGTTGAAAGTCACAGTCAGTAAGCAGATGCAGGAGAGCACAACGTAAAGCAGAATGTTTGTAGAGGGAGTCTGCAGGGGCTTTCTGCAGGACGTGTTGATCAGCTGTGGAAAGCACAGCCCATCTTCACTCAAAGACTCCATAATAAGAAAATAGCAGCTCTTAGAGTCTGCAGACTGTATGACCAAAAAACTGTTTTATACTGACGTTCGTTTTACTCCTCCCCCTTTTAAATTAATTTCCAGTTTTTAAGCTTGTTTTTGTGACACCATTCTCTTACCATATGCCTGTATTACTAGAGTATGCCATTCCTTGTACCAGAGTTAAAAACATAATAATCCAATCAACTTTATTTATATCGCACATTTTAACAACAAAACAATTCCAAAGTGCTGCAGACTCAACAAGGTAATTATAAAACAATTAATATAAATAAAACAGTGATAAAAAAAATAGAATAGATACAAAGCCACATGGGACCACACAACTTATGCTAAAAGTCAGAGAATAAAAGTGAGTCTTGAGATGCGATTTCAAACACTCCATGGTGGGGGCCATACATATATTTAGGGGCAGAGCATTCCACGAAGAACGTTTTATCACATCTGGTTTTCAGATTTATCACACCCAGGACCTCAAAGTGAGCAAGGAACGGTAAATTTGGATGAGGTCTGCAATGTACTGAGGTGCCGGTCCATTCAAGTCTTTAAAAAGAAACAGCATTATTTCAAAATCAATTCCAAACTTAAAGGTGCCGTAGGAGATCAGTTCCAGCAAGCTATATTTCTAAAAATATACAACCATTCCTCTCCCATCTGAGCACCCCTCGAAACCACGCCTTTAACGCGCATGCTGTCTGTCGAGGTGCTCAGATGTTTCCGAAATCGAGACCGAAACGAACCGAGACTGACTGCTCCTGAAACGAGCTAACAACAACATAATGCTACGTTTACACATTAAGCAAAAGCAACTAGTTTACATGCAAAGTCAATGGTTGATGAGCATCATGGCGCAGCAAAAGGTCTTGCAGCACATCTAGGGCAGCAGGAGCAGCACGTCGCTGATCTGGGAGATGGCAGGGAGACAGACACAGCACTGCCTCACCTCCAAGTCTAAAGTAAGATTAAACATGACAGGGCTTTGGGCAGAGAACACAGCATCCCCAACAACTACACCATTAATGAGGAAAACCACTGGACAACACAATGTCGAGCGTGTGGCCATGCACCGTTGTAAGGCCAGTGACATGTTGTGTAAATTAAAGGCTTCCACCAAGTCCCGTTTGGCACCAGTACCACACAAGAGGTCTTCCACTGCTGTTGGTACTTCTCCCAGCCTCAGACTTGAGTTGAACAGGTAGCACAGGATGCCACACAGTTCATCTGCTCAACACCCTTGAAACCTGGAGCTGATACCATCTGGACCCGCAGCCTGTGGCACCTTGATCTTTCGCACCTCATTCCTCACCTGTGTTGTTGAAAGTGACAAGATGGCAGGGGAGGGGTTGAGCAGTGTGATGGTATTTTCTGGAGTGGGGAGGTTGGATGGTGTTTAGGAGCTGGGAGGTGTGATGCAGTCAGTTGTTAAAGAAGTTGAAGGTAACAGCAGGGGGTCCTGGACTGGGGGAGGAGTGGGTGGCTGGTCACACCAATTATATTTCACATATAGTTTTTTTTTTATCAACCTACATCTGAAGAGATTTAGATGTATAATTGGATGTTTAATTTAAAATAACCTCCAAAATGTTTTTAGACAGTTATATTATTTTATTATAATAACCAAATAAATCTCAAATATCCACAATACAAACAGAAAACATTCCTATCCAAATTGTTTTTGATTAAAGTTAGTCCACAAGTACAAACAGTGGGGGCTGGCCAATAGAGGGCGCTCACACACCCTATAACCTTGATTAAGACACAAAAAAAAGCAAATAAACATTTTATCATAAAATTAAATATATAATATATAAATATCTTAATATATTCCTATATGTGCAAGATAGACAGATGATAAAATCTTTAATGACATGTAAAGCTCTTTCATTTGTCATCAGGGACTAGTGAAGTATTTCCCGCAATGAGCGCAAAAATCTTTGGCCATTGACTCTTGTTGAAAGTTGTAGATGTGCAGTAGTTCCTCTGCAATGTTAAAGGATAGGTGAGCTCAGAGCACAGCTGTCCTGCGGCCCGAGCTAGCAGGAAATGTCATCACATTCGTAGTGTGGCTGAGTTGTGGAAGTTGGATCATTGGCGAGAGAGAAATGGAGCAAGAAAAATTATATCAAGTGATGTCCCTTAAAGCAAGAGAAGGTGGAGGTAAAAGCATTTAGATCTGATCAGCTGAACATCACAACTAATCAGCAGTCCAAAGACAGATGGAAAGGGTACACCAGCTCTTTTTCCAGGACCTGGATTAGCTACAAGGCTTGACTAACTGCATGCAGCGAGGCTAACGCTTTATTCTGCTTTCCCCACTTCCCTTCTCAAATGTAAGGATCTTACAAATCATGTATAAAGACAGAACTGATTTAAAGCACTTTTTAGATAAGGAAGAGAATCATTAACAATCTGGGATTCACATGGAAAATAATATAATATAGTGTACCTTTTATAGGTGTTTCCATGTTTGCTCTTAAATAAACACATATTCAGAAAATAAGCTGTTTTTATATATCAAAGAAATATAAAGATAATAGGTTCTCCTTTATTAAACTGGTACATATTTTTTTTAGGTTTCTGACACCTTATTGGACCATGCAAAATCGATTTGCCTTCAGAAAGCCTCAGAAGGGCAACATTTATGTTCAAAAAGTTGAACATGACATTGTGTTTTTGTTTTTATAACGCGTTTTGTAATGTTTTATTGTTGTTGGCATTCATATGAGAACAGCATCCACCTCGAGATCTCTCTTCTTACAGCGCTGACAGCATAGAACCATGGAAAATGAAAGTAGAATGTGTTTCTAGATAATTACACTATTAAGTTGTGTTTACCTGAATGTACATTCCCAATCCCAAGTCCCCTGCTACTACCGCTTGGAGATTATTGGAGATGTGGCAACATAAGCTGCGTAAGCAGGCCACACTAACCAACTGTGAAGACCAAGATTTCAACACAGATTTAAAATTAAGATATTTCTTGACAAATTGATTACACTGATGAAGTTTTGAGGTGTACTTTCTCACTTAAAAACATCTTAAGACCTATTTTGTCACAAACTAAGGGTATAGAAAAAATTTTTTTAATCACCTTCATCAGTTACTGCAGCAGCCAATGGAACAAATCATTGCAGCTGCACATTCGCTACCCCTAAACAAGCCCCGAAAATACTAGGTCTGTAGAGGCACCAAAACCCCAGTAAAAATAATTTACTCGGGTTAAATGTTGATAGAAAGCTACCCAGACTTTGAAAAGCCACAGGCTTCTCAAAAGGCACCCCTGGGCTTTTGATTGGCAATGGAAATTGGGGCAATCGGTCAAAAAAGGGTCACTACCAGCTTGTTTTTTATGCCAGCAAGCTAAACACTTGTTGTATAAACAGACAAAATGGTATGAAAGTAGAAAATCTGCTAAATACATAAAGGAGGAGGAAATGATTGTGATCAAGTGGGCTCACTCAGGGTAGTAGGGAAGTGCAGATGGTAGAGGTGGGGTAAACTGAAACTGCCAGGTCTGTAAGACATAGGAGTATTTACTTACTTTTTATTACTTCCAGATAATAAAAACAGAAATGCATACTGATGACAAAAAATAATTGCAACTTAATGTAAAGTTTAATCAGTAAGGTCCTTTAAAGTGATTTTTTCCATAGCAAGTAATATTTTAAAAACAGAAATGCATACTAATGATAAAATACAAAACAATTGTATCAGGAAGGTCCCTTAAAGTTATACAGGAAATAATAATGATATTAAATTAATAACAATTGGAAGACACAATAACAAATACAAACACAAGTTGCTGATTCTTGAATAATCCAAATCAGTTTAGGTTCAAAGAAGACCAACAACTATTCAACTATTGCATCCTTTACATCTCTACAATATGTTCATGTCACCAGAGTCAAGCTGAAATATCTTTAGTGTTATAATACATTTAACAGATTTCCTAAACCAAGGATAGAAAAAAGCATAGATGAGTGGGTTTATACATGAGTTGAAATAAAATAACCAGATCCCAAATTTTGAAAAGAACTCACTCGTAACCATTTCCTGTCCTGCAAAAGACGGGTAGAAATAAGGGCAGAAGGTGAATA